CCTTCATGGGGTAGCTGCCTCCTTTTTGAAACCTGGCCCCGAACAGTGACTGGGCCCAGGGAATTTATCCACATCTTAGTTTTAGGTTTAGGGAGGGGTGAAAATCCTAATGATGGCATATGTTTGGGTCTCACAGATGGTCCAGACCTTTTTGTAAAAACTTCAGTAATGACTGAACAGATCAAAAAGGAAATAATTATTTCAAAAGAAGAGGAAAGAGAAAAGGAAGGCAAGCCAGGGTTAAAATAGCCATGCTTTAGAAAGTAGAAGTTACAAGTGCTAAGGATCTTCTTGTCCTAGAAGACCACATGGTAGCTCATAAAGGCTGGTACAACTTCATGGCCCCTGTGGGGTCCTTCCCGCTCAGCTCACCTCTGGGAAACAGGTCCGCCTTTGTCTGTCTGTCTCTCTCTTGCCTTCACTGTTCCTGTGTGCTGGCCACTGCTCGTACAAAGATGAACGGCAGATGGGCCCACCCCTAAGAAGCACAGTGTTGAAAGGAAGACAGACACATAAATCTAATGCAGGTATTGACAAGAGCTGTGAGAGCCCAAGGACCACGAGTAGCTCTGCCAGAGGCAGTCAGGAAAAGCTTCAAAGAGGGGGTGACATCTGTGCTGGGTTTTGAGAAATAAATAGGAGTTCACCAGAAAGTGAGTGGGAGGAAGGGAGTTCCAGGCAGAGGAAACAGCCTGGGCAAAGGCCAGAGGTATGAGACTATGGTGTTTTGAAGAGGAGTAAGTCCGCTACATGCAGAGTGTTCAGAACATAGAGTGGAAAAGATTTTCCATTAGACAGTGGGGAACCATCGAAGAGTTTTCAACATGCCAACAACATGACCAGAGTGGTGTCCATCTCAGTCTGCCCTCTCTCGCAAAATCTTGTGTTTCTTCGTAGTTGGAACTCACCAAACTACCCAGAGCCCTCCCACTAGTCCAGGTTTTAGCCTGAGGGAAGTGCCAGGTTCCAGCTGATTGGCAGAACTGTCTTGACTGACATCCGTGAACACAGGTGAATGCCAGGATGCCTTCCAGGCTTAAGTCATTTATGACCTCTGCCCATTTCTGGAGCCTTCTGGGAGGATCATTAAAAAAAACCCACCCAAGAGAGGGGACATACAGAAGTCCTTTCCCAGAGGGACAATGATTATTTGGTTCTCCTTTTTTAATAATCTTCAAATTTCTCTTAGGAGCATGTATAGGCCCCTATTTCTTTATTCACAATGGCAACATCCAAATAGCCCTGAAAAACAGAGTTGTTTTTTTCTTTCCCCCAGAACTCATTTGGTGGCAAAATGACCTGAACAGATGTGAGGCTATTTATAGTCTTTATTGATTCACTTGGTGTGAATATTCATATTCTGCTGCAGAAATACTAACATGTTTGATTACAGGGTGCTGCCCCAGACCCCATCGGGAGTGTTATGTAGTTGTGTAGCATAAGCACCATATTAGCCTTCTAAAATATAATTAGAAACAAAAATCTGAATTTCAAAACCAGTCTGGCCCCAGGGTTTTTACGTAAGGAAATATGGGCCTGTCTTACTTTGGTGAGAAAGATGACATGTTAAGCATAGTGGGCCCTCAGCAGTGTGAGACGACCCTGCTCCACTTCTCTGGTCGTCTCACTCTCCCAGGCTCCACTCTGAACATTATAATCCATTTAAAGGTGATTCATGGGAAGGTGAAAGTGTTTGGTAAACACGTAGTTATCTCCTACTGGCTCTCTTCCTGGCCCAGGCCCTCCCCTTACACAAGGCTTACTTATCCTCTGTTGTCTGATCTTCTCCTGTGTCTGTAGTTTCTGAAAATAATCAGCTCACAGTAACCCCTGTGCCAAAGAGGCCTGTTTTGGGTGGCACATTTTGCTGCCCTTCACCTCCATCTCTTCCTTTCTGCTTCTCAACTCCTCTCACTCCTACTTCACTTCTGGCCCCGTGGCTCCCTGAGCAGCTCTGCTAAGCCTACCCCTGACCTCTTGGCTCTTTCCTCCCAGTAGCATCTTTCACTGGGAGCCTGGGGCCCTCCTCCTTCCTGACGGGCTTTCTTCTCATGGCCTCATCATCCAGCCCCGTCTTGCTTTTCCTCCTGCCTCAACTGCATCCCATCTCCCTCCCTTGTACGGTCCTCTTCCCTGCATTGAACTCGGAGGTCCTGACTGGCCCCAGGCCCCTGCCTCTTCTCTGTCCACAGCCAGAACTTCGTTCCTGCAGGTATACCGCTGCTCATGAATTGTATCTCGAGTTCAGCTCTCTCCTCTAACTCTCAATCCATTTGTCTGACTCCTTACTTGACATCTCCTCTTAGCTATCTCAAAGACACAGTAAATGCAATGTTTCTAGAACCAACGTGTTGATCTTCTCTGCTCTGACCCTGCCAAGACCTGCCCTTCTTCCTCTGTTTCCGTCTCTACCCGCTCAGCTATTGAGGCCAGAAGTGTGACCATCACCTCTCCACCACCCTCATCTCCAGCCCATCACTGAGGTCATGTTGGTTTTTCCTGCTACAGTCTCTCCATCTGCACCTCCCTGACCCTAGGCAAAGCTGCCATTACCTCCCCACTGGACCCCAGAAGGTGCATCCCAGCAGGTCTGCTGCATCTGCTGGTTTCTTCTAGAAATGCACATCGGATTGTTTCCCCTTCCTTCACGCCCCGTAGGGGTTTCCTGGATCAAGTGCTTTCTCAGGATCAAGACAAGGATCCTTACAGACCTTTGATCTGACTCCTCTGACTCTCCCAGCCTCACCTGTACCGCTCCAGCCTTGTCCTCCCTACTCCAGCCAGCGGGCGAAGGATCTCTTCCTTGTGGAAGCCTTCCTTGGCCTCCTGACTCACTCAAACCCCCGTTACAGGTTCTCCAAGCATTGGGTGCTCAGCCTTCACGGCCCTCGTCACATTTATTTGTGGGGTCGTTTGACTTTGTCCATCTCTCTGAGTGTCAGCTCTGTGGGAGCTGGGACCTTGCCTGCTGTTGCTCCCCATGGCTCCCATCACCTAGCCCTGGGCCTGTCCCAAAGAAGGTGCTCAGGGTCTGATGGATGAGTGGCTGCATGTCATATCCACAGGAAGGCCACGTCATGATACAACTGTTGAGTGCACAGAGAGGGGGAGGAGACGGGAGGGTGTCACCTTCTCATGGGTGCCAAGGGGCTCTTAGATCCTTAAGGTCTGGGGTCTGGGCTTGCTCAGTGGACCAAAGATGGCTTTACCTGTTATGTGTGGGGTAGGGGGCCTTGATCTCCCCTGGAGTGCACACACTTTCCAGCCAAGCGATCCTCCTGGGTCTCCATTTGCGTATGGCCCTGAAGTCCGACAGCTCTACCACCATCTCCCCCACCTCCTCCTCCTCAGCATGGGGGTGCCTCCCCAGCCCCACCGCTCTGCCAGCCTCCAAGCTTGCCAATGCCTTCTCAGCTGGCGGAGTGACTCCAGGCCACTCAGATACTCAGATATGCCCAGGAAGCTGCTGCGATGGCAGGCAGGTGGCCCTCTGTCCGGGCTGTTAGGGTTGTAATAGTAGAGCTGGATGGACCCGCCAGTCCACCTCCTTGTCACGTGAGGAATAGACTTACCCACGGTGGGCAGTAAGGGGTGGCCGGGCCAGGACCACGCAGGCTTGTGTCCGCAGGAGTAGCTAACTTTCTAACTCACCCTTGGCCTCCCTCATCTGTCTGGAGTGAGGTCACTTGGGGCCACCTCAGCAGCAAAAGTCAAAGGGAAAGCCTCTGAGGAGCATAGCTGGCAGCCCACCTGAGTCAGGAGACGGCGCTGGGAGGGCGCCATTGGCCTAGCGCCCGGTGATCTGTATTGTAGTAACTCCTGCCCCAACTAGCTGGCTCCACTACTTCAGGCAAGTCATTTCAGCTTTGGGCCTCAGTTTACTCTTTCAAAATATGAATAATAATCCCTGCTCCCACTGAAAAACCCTGTCCTGACTAGGTCAGAGGCATTTTGTCAGGCGCAGATGCTGCCATGTGCCAGGCATTGCCTGCTGCTGTACATTTGGTCCTCACGGTCACTCTGGGAGGGGGGCTATGTTTTTCTTCCCACTTCTCAGACGAGAAAACCAAGGTTCATAAAGCAGGCACTGTCACTTGCCTGAGCGTTCTCAGCTCATTAAAGATGGGAGTTACATTTAGACTGGGGTCTGTCTGACCGTAGAGGCCTTCTGCTGGGTCCAGGCTGTGGCCCCCGGTTTGAGGAACAAACAATAAAAGGAAAATGGACATGACAGTGCTTTGGAGATGGCCCCATGCCATCCAGATGCCACTGGGGTTCAGGCTCTGTCAGGTCTGAGGGCAGATGGAGGGTCAGGCAGAGGCTCCCCCTTCCTGGGAAGTGTCTGGTTCTCTCTTCAAGTTGGGTGGATGGGTGGGTGGGAGTTCTTCTGTGACCTGAAGCATGTAGATGTGGATGAATGAACGTTGGGCCTTTTTTCTGGGATAAGGGAGATCAGGTGGGCAGGAAGGAGAAGGTGGTGTCTTTTTTCATGGTTTGAGGTGGAGGGGGTATCAGGGGGACATTGGTGTTCTTAGTTCTCTTGTACTGTTGTGCAGGTTGTACACTGCATGGCTCTAGGAGGCACCATTCACACTACAGTCTAAGTGAATGGCACTCCCTAGAGAGGTGCACTATACCTTATACCCGATGGCCCTGGAGATGTTCCTTAGTATGATAGCTCATGGTAAGCAGTGATAGCAGTTAAAATTAACTGAGAAGTTACTATGTAAGGACATAGCATTTATTTTATCTTACCTAAGCCTCACAACAATCCTCTGAAGTTGATACTGTTATGTGTGTTTTACACATGGGGAAACTGAGGCTCAGAGGGGTTAGGGGAATTGCCCAAGGTCACACGGCCCCAGCTCTTTCCCACTCTGCCACGCCACCTCTGAACTCCATTGAGGTTGAAGGAAGCAGACGTGGCGGGAACTTCAGTGCATGAATAAAACCATCATCTGTGTGTCTCTTTTCTTCCCCCTCCCATGGCCCCCCCATAGCTGGACAAGATGCTGGACCCCCAGGTGTGGCGGGAGGCAGCCACACAGGTCTTCTTTGCCCTGGGGCTGGGCTTCGGGGGTGTCATCGCCTTCTCCAGCTACAACAAGCAGGACAACAACTGCCACTTCGATGCCGCCCTGGTGTCCTTCATCAACTTCTTCACCTCGGTGCTGGCCACCCTCGTGGTGTTCGCTGTGCTGGGCTTCAAGGCCAACATCATGAATGAGAAGTGTGTGGTCGAGTAGGTGGCCCCTCTCCTCATGTCCTTATTCCTCCCTGTCCACCTTACCCAGGAGGGACAGGCGGGCTGTGGATGCAGAGTCCCCATCCCCCTGGGCTGAGGGATGGAGATGAGAGGTGCTCTCTCTGTCCCCAGCCCTGGACCCCAGGGACAGTTCCAGCGATGTCTCTGTTGATGGTCCAGGGGTCCTGCTGGGTTGTGCCCCCAGGGTCGTGCCCACTCCTTCCTTTTGACCTGGCCCTCTCCCCTTTGTGCTGCAGGAATGCCGAGAAAATCCTGGGGTACCTCAACTCCAACGTGCTGAGCCGGGCCCTCATCCCTCCTCACGTCAACTTCTCCCACCTGACCACCAAGGACTACTCGGAGATGTACAAGGTCATCAAGACCGTGAAAGAGGACCATTTCTCAGCCCTCGGCCTCGATCCCTGCCTTCTGGAGGACGAGCTGGACAAGGTGAGGGACAGACTGCCCTTCCCAGGACAGGCAGGGAGGCAGACGTGGAAGTGCGGAACCCAGAGACAGGCTGTGGGGAGCTAGAGCTTGGGTGCAGGCTTCCAAAAGCCACCAGGGACTCATTCATTTACTTGAGCACCTACTATGTGCCCAGAGAGGGAGAGAGGAAAGGTAACAGCCAAAACTGCTGCCCTGAGGTAGGTTGGCTCCTGACAGGAGACAGGCAGAGACAGACAACAGAAACCACGGGAAGTGCAGAGGGTGACTTTCACATTCTTTGAATGGGTCATAGGAAAGGCGTTTGGAACAGTGCCTTGTACACAGCACGCAGAAAGTAGGTGTTTGTGTTAGCATTAGCATCTGCCCTTTGTGTCTGTCCCCTTTTGCCCTGATGACAGTGTTATGAGTCGAGTGTTAATATTGTCCGCTATTTTATAGGTGAGTGGCCTGTAAGTGGGGAGCTTGCTCAGGGTCTCACAGTGAGCAAGCAGGGAGCCAGGGCTCAGATTTGCATGCTCTGAGTTCCCCCTTGATGCTTCTGCCCCCTCCCCTGGCTGTCCCCACTCTAACTCCTACTGCCACCGTGACCCTTAGTCCCTGGGGTGGCGTAGGACAGGGGCAGGCTGCCCCCTCTTTCATGCCCAGGCCCAAGTCTGGACACCTTGCCTTTATTCCCATAGGCACAGCTGGAAACTTTCAAAGTGACTGTTCCATTAGAAGGGGTGCCAAGGGAGAGACATGCCCAGAGGGTCCTGGGACCCAGCTGGTGCCAAGGCTGATGTGGGGCAGAGCCAGCTCCTGTCAGCTGGGGCCAACCCTGCCCCTCTTTCTGGGGCCAGGGAGGGTGATGCTTTCCCAGTACTGAGGTCTGAGCTCCATGTTCAACGTCAGCTCCGTTCCACTGGCACCGTCCCAGATGAGGGAGCTGCATCCCGCTCCCCTGACTCTTCCCATGTGATCAACAGCAGAAGGGCCCAGTCTGGGGACCCCTGCCCTGGTTTCTTCCCATGTGACTGGCGGCAGGAAGAACCTCCCCCTTCCACAAGACCTGCCCCATTCTCACGGTGTGGCCTGGTCCTCTGAATAAAACTCGGGCTGTAGCCATTTTTGTTTTGTTTTGTTTTGTGAGGAAGATTGGCCCTGAGCTAACATCTGTTGCCGACCTTCTTCTTTTTGCTTGAAGAAGATTGTCGCTGAGCTGACATCTGTGCCAATCCCCTTCCATTTTATGTGGGATGCTGCCACAGTGTGACCTGACAAGTGGTGCTAAGTCTGTGCCTGGGATCCGAACTCATGGACCCTGGGCTGCTGAAGAGGAGCACGCAAACCTAACCACTAGGCTACTGGGCCAGCCTCTTGTAGCAGTTTTTTTATACAATACAACTTCAATAACATCCACATGACAAGGATTACATACACAATGGGGGCAGGTGTTCCCTCACGATCGCAGGACATTGCAGGACAACACAGAAGTGTGTCAGTGGGCAGTGTGTGGTCAGTTGCCCCGTGAGCAGGGACCCAAGCGTTAAAGCAGTAGTCCTCTACCTTGGCTGCCATCAGAGTCACCCGGGGGCTTTACACAACCCTGATAGCCAGCTTTACCCCTAGACCTATCAATCATTGTCCCTAGAGTGAGACCCGGGCGTTGTTGGTTTTAAAGGCTCTGATGTGATTCCACTGGGCAGCTGAGGTTAAGACCACTACGTTAAGGTCTGGAGTTCAGAGCTGGGAGCAGCCAAAACTGTGGCTGAAGCAATCAGGGAAGACTTCTTAGAGGAGGAGGACCTTGAGCTCGGTGTGTTTCTAAATGTGAGCATCTTCATCTGAATCGCCTGGAGTCTTTGTACAGCTTGCAGGTTCCAGGTCCCACAGGCAAACTCCTGAATTGGTGTCCTACTCCCTGGGGGCGATTCTGATGCCCACTCAAGTGTGAGACCCACTGGCCCAAAACAAGAGGATTTAGTTGGGGGCGGGGAGCCCTGTGACAGAGGGAATAGTTATTTCCATGGCTCCAAGGGCAGACATAAGGAAGCAGGGGACTCCTGGGTCGGGGGGGGCGGTAGGTGTGGGCCCTCACTGAGCCCTCGCCTTCTGCCCCCTATCCACCCCACAGTCTGTGCAGGGCACAGGCCTGGCCTTCATCGCCTTCACCGAGGCCATGACACACTTCCCTGCCTCCCCGTTCTGGTCCGTCATGTTCTTCCTGATGCTCATCAACCTGGGCCTGGGCAGTATGATCGGGACCATGGCGGGCATCACCACGCCCATCATCGACACCTTCAAGGTGCCCAAGGAGATGTTCACAGGTAACTCCTCCCAGCAGACCCCACTCACTTTGTGACAACGATCAGCTTGTGGCTCTGACTTTAGAAAGACCCCGTACCCAGAAGCCCGCCCCCACCACTGAGACGCAGCTGGAGCCTGGCCGTGCCGCCCAGAGAAGAGCACTGATGAGCCAGGGGGAGAAGGCTGTCTGGGAATCTGTGCCAAACCCGAACTAGGAGACAGACCTCCTTCTTGGTTCCTTTGCCCCTCCCCCAACGGCCTGCTGAATCATCTTGGGCAGGGGTGGCCTCCCTCCATGCTGGCCTTGTCCCCTGCTCCATCTCTGTCCCCCCAGCCCTGGGATGCTCCCCGCCTAGTAGAGTGAGAGCTCAGACCTTCAGCATCTGGACCACCTCCCCCCAGGCAGGGCTGGGCTGGGCCTGCTGAGGGTGGGCTGCAGGTCTGCTGTGGGGAGGGGTGGGCTGGGAAGGGCCTGGGTGCCCCCCAAGACCCCCGGGCCTGCCCACCCTGCACCTTTGCCCCCACACCGGCCTCCTGGCTCTCTGTAGTGGGCTGCTGTGTCTTTGCATTCTTCGTGGGGCTCTTGTTCGTCCAGCGCTCCGGAAACTACTTTGTCACTATGTTTGATGACTACTCGGCCACCCTGCCACTCACCGTCATCGTCATCCTTGAGAACGTCGCCGTGGCCTGGATCTATGGAACCAAGAAGTAAGGGAGATGTGGGGAGGGGTGGGGACGGGAGGAGGGGTCTGTCCCATCCTGACTCCCTGGAGAGTGCTGTGTTGCCAGGGCTGCTTGTGAGCGGGACAGGAGATCACAGAGTCAGGATGTCAGAGCTGAAAGTGCCCTTCTAGATCACAAGTGAAACTGAGACTCAGACATGACCGCCCAGGGCCGCTTGGCTAGTGAGAGGTAGAGCCAGTCTGAAGACGCAAGTCTTCCCGGTTCAGGTCCTGGAATCACCCTAAATTGCCTTAAATTACCATAGCACAACTCTTCAGAAATCTCTTAGGCCTGTTAAGCACTTACTGGGTGTACGAGAAGCCCTTGCCCTCAAAGAACATAGGGACTCCGGAGCCTGATTCGCAGTTTTGAGGTGATCTACGTAGGGGTGTGAGATGAGTGTGGTTTTGGCCTTAAGTTTGGTCGGGTGGGTAAGAGAATTCAGCAGTAAGAACGGACTGGGTCTCAGGGCCTGAGCCCGGGACAAACCCACACTCACCGTCAGCCCCTGGCCTCAGGCCTCAGGCCTCGTTTGAGAACAAATCTGTATCCCCAGGAAGCCCCAGGTCTAGGTCCCCCCACTCTCAGTGTTGGCTGTGGCCTCACTCTCCTTGTCCTCAGTGAGGCCTGGACTCTACCAACCCACTCAGCCCGACCCTCCCCGACGTCTGGACCCCGTCTTTGAATCACCCTCTCTCACGGGCCCTGCTCCAGCCATCTCCTTGCCAGGGAGGGCAGGAGGGGCCGGGCGATGAGGAGGGAGCAAGCTTGTGAGCCAGGGCTGGAAGAGGCTGCTAGAAGGGGCTCTGACCCTCCTGCAGTCTGGTGAGGCCCCAGTACCTCAGCAGGTATATATAGGATTATATAGGAAACTAATTATATTGAAAATTAGCAGATTACTGTTTAAAATCTATGATATAGTAATGTGCTTTATTTTTGCTGCATTAAGTTTCAACATCTAGCTGTGGCTCTAATAATGATAATTTTGAAGTAGCGATGAACACAAATTATGTTGTAGGTATCTTCAATTGTAATGTGGTAAGAAAATCACGTTATCTGTGATTTAATCAACTGGTGACAGTCACAGGTACTGTTAATATTACTGTGGTCGCTTGCATTTATAATGGAAAGAAATGTAAGATTTCAGTTAAGTGCTATTGAGGTGAACATGACTTTTTTTTTTAATGCCATTTGTGTACAGAGCATGCCAGCCTCCCAGAGTTGCACCCAGAGAGCTGTGGTTAGAAACCCTTGAGTCAGGGCCAACTTCTGCCTTTGGACACTCGGGACATGCACTTCTACCTCTTTTCCAGCAGGGGGCGTCTAGAGCTAGGCCGGCCTGAGTGGGGCCGGGCCCCAGAGAACACAGAAGCCCATACTGCTTCGTGCCAGCCCAGGGCATGTCGGGTAGGCTGTATCACATCCCTGGGTGGAGTGTGACGTAGTCAGAGCAGGTTAGAGGAGGACAGCAGAGCCTTCCCAGAGGCTCTGTAGCCAGGCCACAGAATAATACATCAGGAGCATTGAATGTGAAGAATCGAAGAGTCCAGGAGGGAAGGACTGGTCAGTGAAGGCTTCTTGGAGGAGGTGGCTATGGAGGAAGGGGCAGGCACAGTGGTGGTGCCAACTGCTGGGCCCTCTGCTGCCCCTGGCAGGTTCATGCAGGAGCTGACGGAGATGCTGGGCTTCCGGCCCTACCGCTTCTATTTCTACATGTGGAAGTTCGTGTCTCCGTTGTGCATGGCTGTGCTCACCACGGCCAGCATCATCCAGCTGGGGGTCACACCCCCGGGCTACAGCGCCTGGATCAAGGAGGAGGTGAGGGGTGGGGGCCCTGAAACCCCAGGGACGTTGGCATCTTCCCAGGCCGTTAATGTAACAGGCAATAGAGATCAACCCTTATAGGGTGACTGTTGTGTGCCAGGCCCTGCCAGGGGCTTTGCACACCTGATCTGTAACCTTCACAACAGCCCAAAGAGAGAGAAGGCATTATCTCCATAGCACAAATGGGGAAACTGAGGGTCGAAAGGTTGACGTCATTGTCTAGTCTTTCTAACCATGTTCTCGCTCCACGCCTGTGGAGGGACTTACCCATCCTTTTACAGATGTAGAAACTGAGACCCAGGGAGGCTCAGACCTAACCAAAGTGACCGGCTAACTCAAGTAGCACCTGCTGCTGACCCCATCTCTGCCAATGCCTGGCCAGGATGGGGGGTGGGGGTGGAGGGAGGGCAGGAAGAGGCAGCTCTGCAGGTCCTGGGAGGGTGAGGCTGTCACCCTGCTGGGCAGCAGCCCTCACCCCCGTCCGACCCCCAGGCTGCCGAGCGCTACCTGTATTTCCCGAACTGGGCCATGGCGCTCCTGATCACCCTTATCGTCGTGGCCACGCTGCCCATCCCTGTGGTGTTCGTCCTGCGGCACTTTCACCTGCTCTCTGACGGCTCCAACACCCTCTCCGTGTCCTACAAGAAGGGCCGCATGATGAAGGACATCTCCAACCTGGAGGAGAATGACGAGACCCGCTTCATCCTCAGCAAGGTGCCCAGCGAGGCGCCCTCCCCCATGCCCACTCACCGCTCCTACCTGGGGCCCGGCAGCACGTCACCCCTCGAGAACAGCGGCAACCCCAATGGACGCTATGGAAGTGGCTACCTCCTGGCCGGCACCCCCGAGTCAGAGCTGTGACCGCTGCCCCCACCCCGCCTGCCTCTGCCCCACACCCGACCAGCCCACTTGTCCCAGCCTGGCCTCTGCCCCTAGGCCAGGCCCTCTGCCCAGCTGACTTCTGCTCCCAAAACCTGTGTGGGGGCCGGGAGAAGCTCTGTCCCCCAGTCCAGGTCCCCAAGCTATGTAACCCTCTGAGACCCTTTCACCAAATTGTGACCGAATAACTGGAACAATCCAGAAGTCCTGATTCTCAGCACAGGGGAGACTCCGAGTGGCCACTTTAGGGGTCACTCCACCCTCTCTCTGTCCCTGTAACCTGCCACCTGCAGTTCTGAGGTCTTGGGGTCCCTCTGTGCTGCCAGGTGGTGGTGAGAGGGACCAGAGCGAGGGTGTGAGGGGGTGCCTTATTCGAGGCTGGGGTAGGACATGTGCCAGGATGCAGGGCTCACCTTGGGATGGGGTTCTGCCTTGTGAGGTGGATGGAGCCCTCTGGCTTGAGCAGTGGGAGTCAGGGGGGCTCCTCTGCCCCTGGCTCCAGGTAGCTTCTCCGATGTCCTTGCCCTGCCTAGGGTGAGTGAGGCGTGCTCATGCACCTGCCTGGGCCTGAAGCCCTCCCTGCTCCGTCAGGCGTTAGCTGTTTCCCTGCCCTCTCCTCCCACTCTGCCCTCCGCGATCCTGGAGCCCAGAGTGGTGGCTCTGCCTCTTCCCTCAAGAGAGAAGAGGAGAGTGCACAGAGAGGTTTCCAGAGCACACCTGATGGTTCACAGCACAATTCAGAGGTTTGGAGCACAATTGTGAAGCACACTCCCTCTCCTCTCACCTGGGGCCCCCCTTTCTTGCTAGTGGCAGCTTCTCCCCTGGAATAGAGGCCCTGGAGTTCAGGGGCTCACACCCGGGAGGCCTCGCACCTGGGGAAAGACAGATAATTTCACTGCCCCTTTGGGCCGCCACTCACTCTCCTAGTATAAGCATAGCCACCCGGTGTGTATGTCACGTGCAGACACCTCGGAAACCTTTCCCAAGCCACCTGGCCCATGGTGGGGAGGGCCACAGGCAGTGCTGTGGACACTGGAGGCTGCCAAGGGGAAGGGCCGGGCCTCTGTCCTGGGGCTCAGCCCCCACAGCATCCCCACCCACCCTCACCTTTGGGCCTCCCCAAGAAGAGGGAGGCCCTCGGAGTGCAGGCTGGGAGCATTAGAATCTGGCTGGAGAGTAAATGTCTGCAGAGAGATGGATGAGCCAATGGGAGGATGGATGGCTGGCTGGATGGATGGATAGAAAGAAAGCTGGGACAGCAAATCTCCATCTTTGAGAGCTGTGGGGAGCAGGGCAGGAGCAGGCCACGGTGCTGGGCCGGGGCACCCTCGCAGTGTCCTGACTCCTCTTGTGGCTCCCAGTGCTCTGAGCCCTGAGAGGGACAGACTAGGCCCAGGGTTCGCTCCTTCGCCCCTTAGTCCTTTGGTCCCTCCCCCACCTCTTCTCCCATTTCCAGCCCTCTCAGCCCCACCTGTCCTTCCTGAGTGTGTGAGGGGAGAGGGAAGCCCACCCACAACAGCCCGCCTCAGGCCCCTCACCTGACAACGCCTCCCAGCTGGCCCCATGCCTAATCCCAAGCAGAATTAGCAACAGGAAAAGCAAGGCCCCGGGAGAGACACTCTATATATACTCTTCTATAAATTCTATTTCTATTGTATATTCAATCTGTACATGTGGGTGTAAATGCTGTTAAATGACAAACCCAATATTATACTGTGGCTGGTGGACTATTTTCATCCTCAGTGCTGTACAGATCTATTTTCATTGTATATTTGATATATTTTTAATTTTGTAGCGTGTGGCTGGGCCAGGCCCCAGCCTGCCAGCCTGTGACGGGGGCTGAGCTGGGGCCGTCTGCTTGGTCCTCATGGGCTCGCTCGTGCTTGTAGCCTTTGCGGTGAGTCGGGCCCTGTCCTGGCTGTGTCTCTGCTGTTAGACATAGGGCCCAGAGCTTGGTGTGCGTGTGTGTATGTGTGCATGTGTGTGTGTGCGTGTGCTGTGTGCACGTGTGGGTGTGGGTGTGTGTAGGTGATTTGTGCTTCCCAGTGTTCACCCCATTCTTGAAGACCACGCTGCCCTCGCCCCACCACCGCCTCCTCTCTGTGTGTCAGGTGAGGCCTCAGGACAGGTCCTCTGAGAAGCTGCCTGCTGTGGGAAAGTCACGTGTTTCTTGCTGGTGACTCATTGCCTTCACACCACTGGGTTTGCCAGAAACAGAGAAGGAAGGTCCTTGGAGGGAAGAAGCCCTCAAATTTATTTTCCAGCCAACCTCTTGCTGTTCCCACTGGTGTCATAAGCTCTTCATCGGGAAGAAAAGTCCTGGATTTCTTAAGATGGCGAGAGCCCCAAGAGGGCATCTCACAGATCTCTGTCCTGAGTTTGTCCTTGAGGCAGTCCTGACTGTTCAGAAAGGAACAGCTGCCCCTCCCCTGGGCTTCCGGCACACACCTCTGCTCACTCCTCAGGGGAGCCGGGAGTAAGGGGTGGGCGGCAAGGCCAGTGGGGTCAAGAGCAGATGGGGCATCTGACAGGTAAGATTCAGCCCCAGACTGCCTGGAGGAGCAGGAGGTGGCTGGGGAGGGGCAGGCCCCCACATCCCTGCCCAGGGTGCCCACCCCACTGGCTTTGGTGCTGTCTATGCAGTGCCCACAGGAAATAGAGCAGACTCCAGGGCAGGGCAGGGCGTGCCTGAAAGAGGGCCCTGCCCTGCCTGCCTTCCAGGCCCCATCACCAGCTTCTTGCTCAGGGAGCCCTCTTCACTGAGGCAGTGTGAAGCCTGAGGCCCAGATCGGGGTGGACAGGCGGAGCATACAAGTTGATGCCTGCGAGGTTGGTTTTTGCTCTCCAGCAATAAATCTGAGGGACCACTGTGTTCCTTGTGCCGGGAGAAGCCCCCTGAGTCAGCCCATCATAGGCCATGAGGCTGGGAGCCAGAAGCTGCGTGGTCCCAGACCCTGAGCAAGCCTGCAGTATTACGGGCAGGGGCCTGCCCTTCTGCCCATCCTCATAACCCACCGGAGTAACTCCCCACTGTGGAAAAGAGAAGAGACTGAACAGGTGGGAATGCTCCTGACTCCCTGAGCATCCACTAGGCCCTGAAACTGGGGGCCTGCTGACTGGGGTGGGGTGGGGGCCCAGGGTATCTTCCCATCCCGAGCTCGGCTTTGTACAGATCCAAGCACACACGGCAGGCATCACTTTAGGTTCCAGCACAAGGTTGGAACAATACAAGTTTGTATGGCCCATGGCTGGTAAGAGCCCTGGGTCAAGACCACTCGGCCCAGGGGAGAGGATGGGGCCTTGTCACCCCCGGAGCCCTCCTTCCTCTCTACCCACTGCCCCCCCATGGTGTACAATAAAGTGTCTGTTCTTACCAAGCTCCTCTTGCGTTTCCGATCTGTCTGGGATCAGGGGGAGGGGCTGGGGGAGGCTGAGGGTCCCGAGGGCAGCTTTGTGTGAAAGCTTGGATGGGGCAGGTGGAGAGGACGGCTGTGGGAGTTGTGGGTGCAGGCTGGCTGGCTGAGGAGTTTGGGGAGGATGGGGAGGGACCTGCATTTATTTTCCCAGGAATTGTCCTGGGTGTCTAACAATGTACGCACTTGTCCTGGGCCTCCCTGAGTATCAAGTACTCTACCTGCCCACCTCATGGGATCTCTGCAGCTGTTCTCTGAGGGAGGGGCTCTGTTGTCTGGGTTTTCCCAGGTGAGGAAAATGCTGCTTCTTCTGAGGTGAGGATGGTGTTCGGTGTCCACTCAGAGGGCTTTGTGGGGGAAGTCCCCCCCCACCGCCCCGCCAGCAAGAGCCATACCTCTGAGCTCTGCAGGGGTGAGGAGTGGAGGCCCATCTCAGGGAAGGGCTGGGGGCTGGAAAGCTGCCAGCACCCAGAGGCCTGAGAGTGACAAGGGGGATGGCAGGGGACTCAAGCGTTCGCAGGAGCCAGCATGTTCTAAGTTCTGAGGGAGTGGCCCCTCTCTTCAAGGTAGCTCTTTTGCAAACTTCAGTAGAAGGTAAAGATTAAATATGGTGTTTGACATTACCCGTTTTCTCAAATTTCAATCCCAAGTATGTATGTATTAAGCACCTCCTGAATGCTCGGCTCCGTGAAGAACAGAATGAGCTGGTGGTAGGGGGAGTGCTGCTCCCAACCTCACCCTCAAGGAGCATAGACACTTGGAGAGGCAGGACATCTGGCTCGTAGGGGAGGTCCTGCCCCACCCCACCCCACTCCAGTCTGCAATGGTGCTGCCTGATCTCAGACACAGGCAGCCAAGGTCCCCAAAGAAACCTTCTGTTTCCTTCTGCCATAGAGAAGATGTTGTTCCAGGAATAGCCACCAGATGGCAGGAAACCCCTTCTGTCCGGGTCTTAGTCCACCTCTCCAACTTCATCATTCATTCCTTTGTGGGTTAGTTTACTCATTGAACATTTATTGAGTATCTGCTGGGAACAGGCTCTGTGCCAGCTACAGATACAAGAATAAATCAGCGTCCACTGCCCTGAATTTTACGATGGAACCCCCCCGTGCCCTGGACTCCAAATCTCCCCACCTATCTCTCAAACAGGGGAATGTCCTAGGGCTGGAAATGTCACTCCTGGTAAATTCATCCAATCCTTTGGTTGAAGGTAATGTTTTTGGTTGAAATGTCAACCCTCCTGCCAGCAGGGGCACACAGACCCACTCAGACTCTGAAGCAATATAACAAGGGCTCGGGTGCAAGGGGGCTATGGAGTCAGACTTCCCAAGTTCAAGTTCAAATGCCAGCTAGGCCTCCCACCTCCTGGGAGACCCAAGGCAAGTTACTTAATCACTCTGAGCTTAAACTTCCTAATCTGTAAAATAGGTATAATGAATGGATTGAATGAGATAAGGCAGGTTGCTGTGTATCGTTTCCCCAAACTTAGTGGCTTAAAACAAGCATTTTATCATATCTCATGGTCTTTTGGGTGAGCAATTCAGGCATGGCTTGTCTGAGCAACTCTTCTGGTGGCAACTGAGGTCACTTTTTAGTATTCAGCTGGCAGATGAGCTGGTTTGGAGTGTCCAAGGCAGCCTCACTCTCATTCACTCAAATGGCCGGCACCTCACTGAGAAGGGCTGGAGGGCTGGGCTCAGCTGGGACATGGGCCAGAGGAGCATCTCAGCTGGCCTGTCCAGCAAAGTTCACGTCTGGGAGGCCAGACTTCTTATGCGATGGCTTGGGGTGCCCAGAAAGACCATTTCAAGAGACAGGAGGTGGAAGCTGCCAATTTCTTAAGGCCTAGGCCTGGAAAATGGCACAGTGTCACTTCCGCATATCCTATGGGTCACGGCATCTGCCAAGAATTAAGGGGAAGGCCTACAGATCCCACTTGTTGGCGGGAAGGGGGCCAAAGACTTTGTGTCTGCCCATGTAATGGGTCTGTTCCAGGGCGTTGGGCATCTTCAGTCATTGGTACCAAGTGGAAGCTTTCTCCTGAGGGGAAGTCAGCTTAGAGAGACAGAGCTGGGCACAGAACAGGTAAGTTAGGATGGGGAGGTGAGTGGCCGAGTTTGCGCCCTGGGCGGAGGGAGCAGACAGGGAGGAGGAGAAGGGCATGTGGGAGGACACAAGAGGCCGCTGTTGATGCCTCATGGTTGCTGCCTCATGGTTGCCCCGGGGCGTGCGGCAGGAGATTGGTTTGAGTTATGGCTCTGTCGCCAACTGCACGACCTTGGGCAAGTCACTTAAACCCCTGAACCTCCACTTTCTAATCTATAATAGGAGGATGACAATAAAATCCCTTTCTTGCAGAGATGTTATATGGGAAAAATGAACTCCTTCTGGAATACAGTATAGAATTCTTTCCAAACTAAAATAGAATAGGTTCTCATTAACTATTAGCTTCCTTTCTTCTTACAACTAGAATAAATCCATGGGGCCTGCTTCCTTCTGGGGGTCCCATCACTCATGCAATGAGCCATTCTCCCAGAGCTATTCAGAAAGAATAGTTGCGGGCTAAACCTAAAGAAGCCAAGGAAGGAGAGGAGAGAAGGCACTGTCTCCAGGAAGGGGAGTGTCACTGGTCCTACACACGGTCCTGCTTCCCCCACAAACAGCCCCAACCAGACACGCAGGCTCAGCCAGCTCCAGCCACAGGCGCTTGGCCCAGCATTGAAGAATTCTGTAGACCCAGGGATGTGGTGGTTTTTTATTTTTTTAAGGCCCCAAATTCTTTAACACTTCAAGGAAGTGGAGTCTATGCTTCCCCCCTTGAATCTGGATGAGCAAATGTGTCCTTTGATCAACAGAATATGGCGGAAGTGATGCTTCGTGACTTCTGAGGCTAGATTAGAAAAGGTCATGCCACTTCCACCTGACGGTCTAAGGATTATGGTTCTGGGGAAACCTAGCCGCCATGTAAGACGTCCAACTACCCTGAAGCCAGCCCGTGCTGGAGAGGCCGTGTGTCTGCAGGTGCTTCCGTTGACAGCTTTAGCTGAGCTCCGAGCCAACAGCCAGCATCAACTGCCGGCCACACGGATGCGCCATAGTGAAGGGTCAGCCCAGCTGACACCTGACTACAGCCGCGTGAGGGACCCCGAGCAACAATGGTTCAGCTGAGCCCTTCCTAGCTTCCTAACCCATAAAATCATGAGCAAAATAAAACGCTTGTTGGATTTATACCACTAAGTTGTGGGGGTAATTTGCTTCACAGTGATAGTAACCAGAACATGAGCCTTAGTGATTATCTGGCCCAACTAGAACAGTTGGGGAAACTGAGGCCCAGAGAGGGGAAGAGATCTACCAAGAATTCTCACAACTAAGCAGGGGAAAAACTGGGGCCAAAGCCTGGGTTTCTTGACTCCCAATCCAGTGCACCCTCCATACAGCAAGGTGCTGACAGGCAGGGCTCCCACGGTCTCCCACCCTCATCCCACTGCCTCAGTAATTCCATGCATCAAGCATGAATCGAGGGGTCTGAGTGCCTAGGATTGTCCTAAGCCCTGGGAATCTACAAAGAAGAATTTGGCAGGGATCCCTGCCTTGCAGAGGCCATCATAATTTGACTTGGAATGTCCTGCCCACAGGCATACTCACTGTGCCAGGCACACTACTTTCTTTACTTATATTATCTTAAATAGGAAGAAACCTGGGAAATGGGGAGAAGACTATGCTGTCACTCAACAGCAAATAAACCATTATGAAGATCACTCCATGCCAGCCACAGTGCCAGCTGCAGAGCAGCAAGACTCAGTGCCGATCAGCCTGTGGCTCTCTGGGGCAGAGCCGGGTGGGTGCTGGGTCTCCCCGTTCTTCCCAGGGCAGGGAAGGATCCCTGGGCTTCATGAGCATCCAAGAGGAGCTACAGTTTGGTCTGCCTCTTCAAACAACTGCTTTTCCTGTCCCCAGGACACTGCTTGGGGGGACCAGGCCCATCAGGACTAATTAACTGCTCTAATGGAATGAACCAGTTTGGCTGGAATTTAGCCCAGGTGGGAGGAATCTGTACTTTTCTAGATGGAGAAATGCTGAGTGCCAAGGAGTCTTGGCAGCTGGGCCCTGAGCTAACGTGCATGCGCGTACTCAGGCTCTCTGGACCCAGGTTGGGTCTCCATCCCAGCAGCCTTGAGCAAGGAGGGCTCTGGGGGGGGTCCACTGAGCTGGCCCTGATCCTGATTCTCATTGGTCTCCATGTGGAGGCCATGGGGGCCCCCATATCATTCTCTGCCCTTGGCCCAACCCCAGCCCCAGCTGTCTCTCAGAACTCACCACAGCTCCTAGTCCTGAAATCTCTCAAGGAGAATGTGTCTGTGAGCTGGCACCAGGTCCCTTCCAACACTGTGACTCCAAGTCCACAGTTTATGAGGCTCTGAGTCACAGCCAGGCCTGAGTTTATGGCCTGCACCCTTTTGGTCCCTTCCCTTTAAGAGTTGGGCCATCAAAAGCCATCTTTGGAGTTCCTTGGGGCCCCAAATATACCTTCACAGCAACCCAACGCTACCTTCAGCCCTTGTGCAGAGCCATTCTCTCTGACCTCCACCAGGCCCCGTGGACTGTCCTCTATGGCTGGGTTCTCCCCAGATCCCTCCTGGGAAGGCTCTCAGCAGTTTATTTGGAGCCTGCAAATCCTGCAGGCTGCCGGGGGGTGGGGAGGGGGAGGCAGGATAAAATGAAATGATAAGGAAACTCTCGTCCGCCCTTCTCTCCCTCCATGGGGGGAAAGGCACTGTCACCCTCTGCCGCAATGATGATGCTGATAGAGTAACTCAGTTAACCAGACTGGGGAGCAGGGCAGGCTGGGAAAGGATGCTGGCTCCTTGACCTGAACCTGAGGGAGGCGTCAGTCCCTGGCAGGAGCTGGAATGCCAAAAAGGGGGAGGCATGAGTATCAATGGATAGGACCTTGTCTTGGCAGCCACGGGGCCTGCTCCTAGGCCTTTAGCCCCTCCAAACAAGCAGAGTCCAAAGAAGGAAGATGGAGAGATTGATGGCTCCTGTCACCCCAAAGTGGCTGAGCCCCCTGCCAAGCCCCCAGTAGGGTAAGGAGATGGGTAAATGACTTTGATGTCAAGCTCTCCAGCTTCCCACTGGCGAGATCAGCTTCAGCTCTGAGAGAGAAAGGGCCTTATTTGAGGGTTCTAGAAGGTCTACAGGTACTTGACAGCCCCCATCAGTGTCCTCTGGGATCATGGTCCTCTTTTCCTATCTTTCTGCCATACCTTTATTCCTGGTGAGAGAAACCACTGTGGCTGACACTTTAGCATGAACTGGCTCCCAGACAGACACTCTTTTCTGACAACCAGAAGAAACGGGGGCACCCAGGGGAGGAAGGTGGAGAAAAGGTGATAATGGAGAGAAAGAACCTTGTGGGATTAGGAATTTACAACTGTGTCTGCTTCGTGATCTTGCTTAAGCCTGTCCGTTACCAAGGTCTTGGAGGAATGGAAAAGGGAGAGAGCAGGCAGAGTCCCAGATAGGAGAGTTAGTCTGGGAGAGGCACCTGAGGTCCTGGAATTGACAGGAAGCCCAGAATCAGCTGTCACCCGGGCTATCAGCCCCTTTTCTCCGCATCACCACAGCCCAGAGATGAGGGTGAGGTCTGGAGCAGGGTCTCCCAGCACCACCAGGGGGCAGCACCCACCCATCAAGTGAAGGCTGTCACACTTGCAGGCTGGGCAGGGGGCTCCCCTCTTTCCTGGCATCTGTGCTTTGGGGAAACAGCATGACTTCACACACACAGACTGACGGGGACAAACCCTATGATGCCAACTGCAGCATACAGAATCCCTCAGAATATTCCAGAAAGACCCAGGTAGCACGTCAGCCCAGAGCTCTAGGATAAAATCTTTAACAAGTGGTGAGGCCTCTGGCCTGTGGCTGGGCTCCCCTCCCCAGGAGCTGGTCAGTGGGCTAACTCAGGGGGCCTCTCCCTAGCGCACCTTTACTGGCTGCCTCTCCCAGATGGGCCCTCTGGGTTCCTTGGCTCTTCCTGGGTTCCCCCACCCCACACCCCAGCTTTCCGGCCTCCCCTCCAGGCCTCCTTTTTCCCTGGCAGCTTTCTCTCTCTACCCACATGCTTATCTCCGTCCACAAATGCCACAGAATGGAAGCACCTAGAGGCAGAGCTTTACCAGGCGAGGTGGCGGGCTCTGTTTTATTCAAGGATTTCCAGGCCTGCAACAGCTTCTGGCACACAGTAGGCACTCAAGAAATATTTACTGGGTGAACAAATGTCTCAAGTGTGGATGCTGGGATAGTTTCTCCCCCTCTCTCACCCCCCTGCCATCAACCTCTCCACTTTCTTCGAACACCTGAGTTCAGCCAGCCTGAAGAATGGAAAGTCAGGGAGACACCCCAACGGAGTTTGCCAGCTAGGACTCGAAAGCTGTTCATTACAGCCAGTTCTTTAGTATTCTTGTGTGGTTCTTCCTTCCTCACTCAGCCTTCTGGCCTGCCCTGGGTCTTCTCTTCCCAGTCATATTTGGGATATTTCTTTTTTGCAGCAGCAAACTCAAAGCTACCTAAACTCTGAAATGTAGACATCAGGTCCAAGGGGTGGGTGGACTAGACACAAATGGGGGAGGGGCAGCAAATGTGTGTTTCTGACCACAGTCCAGGATGGTGCCTACCTCCTCTGCAGATTAGTGCGGAGCATCAAAGATCACCAGCATTTGGTTTTCTGACCTCATTAATGATAAGACTTTTCATTGTTAGAATTCCTTGCACTTGCACCAGGCGTGTAACCTTTCCTCAGAGCACATCCAGCTCCTTGTCTTGTTTTTCCCAGTAGAGCCAGGTACTGCCTGATCTGGACATCAGATTGTGCACAGGTGTCCAGGGCAGGTGTCAGTCACCTTGCACTTCTGCCTTGAAGTCCTCCTTACACCATCCAGATGGACAAGGAGGCTGCCTAAAGCAGTAAAAAAAAAAGAGAGAGAATTAATGTAAAGATGTAGAAGAGGTTCTGGACTTAAAAACAAATAAAAATAAACGAATCTGGAAATTGCTCTTGGGATGAGGCCAATAAAGTCGGGCTGGTGTCTAATGCTTTGGGCACAGCAGCTTCTCAATCACTTAGCAAACAGGTTCTCAGAAGCAGGCACTGTGGGAGAGATCAAGATGAAAAGGTGGTCTGGAGGAGCTCAGGGTCAGAGAGGGAGATGAGACATACAAAGGGCAAAGTCAAATTGCAATGAGTGAAACAACAATAAAACCAGGAGGCAGGACCGGGACACCACCTATGCGCCCCCAGGGCAACGATGAGCCCTGGCTTTAATGACCTTTCACCCCACACCCATAGCAGCGCCAGGACTACGATTTCCTTCCACCCAGACCAGGACCTACTTCTCTGCCCAAGGCTGCCAGGTTCCCCATTCCACCGCGGGGGCTTCGGTGACTGTGACAGAGGCTGTAAGCATCAAGATCTCGGGCGTCTTGGTCCTGGTTGGGCCTCGAAAGCGCAGGATGGGGGTGGGGTGGTCAGGAGGCCCCAACACGGTGTCTGGAGCAGGAGGGGGCAGCCTTCTCCTTGCGACACCCTCTCTCCACTCTCTTTCCTCCCCGGGCCTCCAGTCAGCCATGAAACCGCAACAACGCGACCAGCTTGGCGAGGAGAGGGCAACCGGAGCCCCCAGAAGAGGGCAGGCGGAGGTTAGAGGTCAGGGGTCGAGAACGCTTCGGAGTCTCCAGGCTGCAGTGGGAGGAGCTGCGGGCTCGAGGGAGGGGGGCAGGGGGCCGAGGAGGGCTGGAGGGGATGGAGGCGGCGGCGGCGCGCAGGGGCGGCGCGCTAGGCTGGGCGCTGGCGGCAAGGGGGTTACGCGCTTCGGCTCGCCTCGGGTCCGCGGAGGAAGGCTGAGCTCGGCCGCCGGAGCCCTGCAGCTAGCCGGGTCGGCCCCGCGCCGCGCCCCGCCCATCCTGCCCCGCGGAGGGCGCGCCCGGGCGAGGCGGGGCCGGGAGGAAAAGGCGCCACCAGAGAGTGGCGTCCGCTGCCATCGCCGGAGGAAGACGGCGAGCCCCCTGAGCTCCAGCCCACCGGCGCTGAGGCGGCCCCTCCCCTAGGCCACCTCTCACCCGCTCTTTACCGAGAGCCAAGGCCGGCGCCCCGCCCGGAGATGGGCAGACGCGTGGATGGCGTGGCTCCCAGCGCCGCCAGATCGCAGGAGCCTGGCGCCGGGGCGCTGCGCTGAGGCTCCCGCTCGGCGCAGCTCGGGAAGCCTGCAGGTGTCCTTGGCCGCTCGGCCACTGCCCGGGAGACTCCTTCGCCAGTGCCCAGAGCCCCGCTCCCCGGAGCCCGGCTCCCCAGAGCGGCCCCGCCTCCCAGGCTCGGTGCCGCGCAGGACGCCCCGTCTGAGGCCCCCCCGCCCCAGCACGGCCCCCGCAGCGCCCAGCCCAGCGCCGCTCCCAGCCGCCGCCGAGCCGCGGACGCAGGACCGGAGGCTCGCTCCTGCGGCGCGCTTGTTTTCCTGCTGCCGCCTCGCCCTGCGCAGTCCCCGCCCGCCCGAACGCCGCGCTCCTCTCAGCCCCGCCCGCCATCCGTGCCCTGCGCTGGATTTATGAATGGGGGGAAGAGGCCACATGCCGCCGCCGCCGCCTCGAGTTGACCGCACGCAGCCCGGGCCCGCGGAGCTCCGGCTGCCGTGAGAGCGTCGGCTCGGCCCAGGCAGCCTCTCGGAAGACTTGTTGCTGCGCTGCCGCTGCCGCGGGAAGCCGGCGCTCCCGCGGCTCGGCGCGGTCTGGGAGCCGGAGGGTGGCCGGAGTGAGTGTGAGCGCGCGCGCGCGCTCCGGACCCTCGCAGTGCGCCTGGACTGTGCGCTTTCTCGTCTTTTTGGGGGGTGAAAAGGGGGGTGTGTCCCGGACCAGGAGCGTCTGAGTGTCCAGCTCTAGCGGGGGAACGTGTGTGTGTTTGCCCCTGACTCCCTGGGCCCCTCGCTTGGGTCCTCGGCTACCCTTTCCCCATCCTGCCTCCCTCCCCGGCGGCGCCTGCCCAAACCCCAACCACCTGTGCACCCGAGAAACCCAACTCCTCCCGCTCCGCGCCGGGGGGTGCGGAGGCAGGGGCAGGGCCACGCCGCAGAGGGGGCCGCCGCCGCCTCCTGCCTCCTCCTCGTCTCCTCCCCCTCCCCCGCCTGACGCTGCCTCCTCGGGAAGGGTGTTTGGAGGGCAGCGGCCGCCCCAAGCCGAAGCCCCGCAGCGCTTCTTATGATCAGCTCGGTGTGTGTCTCCTCCTACCGCGGGCGCAAGTCGGGGAACAAGCCTCCGTCCAAAACATGTCTGAAGGAGGAGATGGCCAAGGGCGAGGCGTCGGAGAAGATCATCATCAACGTGGGCGGCACGCGACATGAGACCTACCGCAGCACCCTGCGCACCCTACCGGGCACCCGCCTCGCTTGGCTGGCCGATCCCGACGGCGGGGGCCGGCCCGAGTGCGATGGCGGTGGTGCGGGCAGCAGCGGCAGCAGCGGCGGCGGGGGCTGCGAGTTCTTCTTCGACCGGCACCCCGGCGTCTTCGCTTACGTGCTCAACTACTACCGCACCGGCAAGCTGCACTGCCCCGCCGACGTGTGCGGGCCGCTCTTCGAGGAGGAGCTCACCTTCTGGGGCATCGACGAGACCGACGTGGAGCCCTGCTGCTGGATGACCTACCGGCAGCACCGCGACGCCGAGGAGGCGCTGGACATCTTCGAGAGTCCGGACGGAGGCGGCGGAGGCTCGGGGCCCCGCGACGAGGCCGGCGACGATGAGCGGGAGCTGGCCCTGCAGCGCCTGGGGCCGCACGAAGGAGGCGCGGGCCCCGGCGCCGGGTCCGGGGGCTGCCGCGGCTGGCAACCCCGCATGTGGGCGCTCTTCGAGGATCCCTACTCCTCCAGGGCGGCGAGGGTGAGTGACAGGAGCCTGCGTCGCCTCTGGGGTCTGCAAGGGGGTGCAGGGTGGTGGTCGGTAAAGGCTGGGAGGAGCCAGACGGAGACTGACTTACCTTACCACTGCCTCCCTCCCAATTTCCCCTGCCTTCCCTGGGCCCCCAGGGGAATCACACCCCCCCTCTCCCCTGCACGCCTCACCAGGAGATTGCACACACACGATTTACTACTTGGACCTAATCCCAGATGCCTGCTTTGCTGCATCCCCCCCACCCCCCAGCCCTTAGTTGAGCTCTTCCACCCCCTTCTTTCTGCACAGGGTACCTCTCTTCCTTTACCTGGCACTCCTCCACAGGGCCAGAGTCCTGGAGAGTTCGGGTTAGGCCTTCCGCTGGGGTCAGGCAGGGTTTAGGGGAAGAAAACTAGCATGTGTTAGCACCACAGGATAGGCAGGCCATCGCATTCACTGCTTGCAGGCGTGCCGCCTTAGTTCAATCCTCCTAGCAGCTTACTGTGCTAGACCTGTGAGTTTTAGAAAGGGGCACAGGGGCTTCAGCCTCTTCAGCCCGTGACAGGCAGGGCTGGGACCAGAAGTCAGGCCTCTGTCCAGGTTTGGGAGGGGCCTTTTTACAGGGAGATCCCTGCCCTATGCCGTGCCCCTGAGGCTTCCTGGACACCTCGAAGGCATGAGGGCAGAGATAGACTGAAAGGGCCGAATGTTCTGGGCCCTGCAGGCGCCATGGCCAGGGGCCAACCACACTGCCTGGGGATGATCCCAGGTTTGTTGCTGCTTTTCTTCCTGCTGTGGCACAGATTGGTTTTCCAGAAAGCCCTGGTTCAGGTTACTGCTTGAAATGGATGTTTGGGCTGGGGGGTGGGGGGACGGGTGGATTGATTTGGGCAAGAACCAGTCCCTTCCCACCACCTTCTCCCCAAGTCAGTCCTGTTTCCCCTAACTCCGTTAGGTGGAGGGCTGGGCAGATATGCTTGGGCAGCTAAAAAAAAAAAAAAAAAAGCCCCAAAAGGTGGCTTTAGAATCTTTGAAAAACAGAATCCTGGGGGCTGGTGGTCTGATCTCATGGCTGGCAGCCTGATCTCATGGCTGGCAGCCTGAAGTCTGTCTGGGAATCAGGAAAGAGCTACATGACGTGCTGGGTCTGGGGACTGCCTCCTGATGTGGAAGCCAGTTGTCACCTCTGGCATCCCAAGCTGTCATGTTAATGAGTCTCAGAGCCCTCCTGGCCCTGCCCCCCCACCTCCTGTGCTGGGCCTCAACTCAGTCAGGGGAGGAAAAGTTCCACTTCCCCACCCAGGGGAGGGTAGGAGATTGGGAAATGGGCTGCAGGGAGGGGCCAGGCAGACACAGACGCTAGAGCAGGGCAGCTGCATCTCCTGCCCAGAAGAGAAGGGAGGAGCACAGGGCTCTGGTCGTGGCGTACCAGGCTGGGACTGCAGGCGTCCCAGGGCAGCCACTGGGAGACAGGGCCCTTTTGCAGGACTGAGTGAAGCTAAGGCAGTTGCGTTTGCTTCTCCGCCTGCAGCCCTGGGACCAGCTCAGAGGGTGAGGGCACAGCAATGCCCTGGCTTGAGTCTCCTGTCAGTTCCTTGGGCTTCTCATGCAGTTCCCTAACCGCTAGTGTCAATTCTTGGCTGTGTGCACTAGAAGAGAGACAAGTACGGATAATGCAGCCTCTTTCAAAGTTGGGGGTCAGGGGAGGAGGGAACAGGTTTAGCTTGATAGAGATGGGGAAAGGGGCCAAGCCTGGGAGGCCGGAAGGAATGAGGTGGGTAGGGGAGCAAGGCCCTATTTCTGAGCATCCTGGGGTCTCTGGGGACTTTCCACTGTCTCAGGTTCTTCCCTCTTGGATTCCAAGGGTCTATACCATCAATGAGTTAATTTTTTCCTTAACTGACCGCAGACTGGCCCAGCCAGGGGGCTGTGTGAGTAAGCTCAGAGCCTGATCGGCCCCTTGAAGTCCTCCAGAAGCCCAGGAGACTTTGCCCTTTGACGTGGAGTCACATCAGGCAGGGCATTCCAATTGAGGGAGGAAGTTTGGGGCCAGACAGGATTAATTGGTTGAAGCAGTGAAGAAAGCAGGACTCAGAGACAGTAAGTGTCTTGTCAAAGACACTTAAATAAGAGCAGAGCCAGCAAACCACCCCTAGTTTCCAGTCTTCTGGGTGTTAATACTGATGTGAACAGCTGTATGGAGCTTTGGTGGCATTCATGCCAAAGGAGGACTTGCCTTCTGCTAAGGAGCACAGAGGCAAGCCTTCAGCTGTTCCTGGATCACACAAGTGAGAATTCATAATTTAAAAAAATTAACGACAACTGCTATTTATTGAGCACTCCATGTGGGTACTTTGCATTAGTCTCTAATCCTCCCAGTAAACTCGCAGTGGAGGCATTATCCCCATTTAACTGACTGAGGCTGTGAGAGGGTAAACAACTTGCCTGAGGTCACACAGCTGGATCTTGGTGGGCTGTGACCGCAGCCAGGGCTGCCTGACTCCCCAGCCCTTGCTCCACGGGTTACAACATGTTATTTCCACTGCACGAGGCTGTTTTCCAGGTGGAGAGGTGGCTCTTTCTTGCTCTGGCCTGGGAGGTATTCTGAGGTTTTGTCCGTCCTCTGGATGATATCAGAAAACCTTGGGGCAGATGAGGACATCAGAGGGGACACTTACTCTGTTGCCCCTCCAGCCTGAGGGTCTGAGGTCCAGGAACTCTGGGCCTGCGCCCTGCCCCCTCTGTTTACCTCAGGCCAGTGACGCTGTCCCCACCCCCAGCTGTCCCCTGGGTCTGTGTGCACGCTTTCCTTCTCTTGGGGCCTCTTCCTGCTGCCTCCCTGGAGGGTCTGTACCCGCAGCACCGTGGTGGTGGGCTTGGGGCACTCAATGATGGCCAGTAAGGGCAGAGGAGCAGCACTGTGCCCCAGGCGTCTTCTTCTTCACACACAGCAGCCGGTCATTTGAGTAGTGCCTTATGGCAGAAGCAGAACAGATACAAACGCAAAGTGAACGGAGCTGATTGTGGGAGCCTGTTGCTTAGCTACCCGCCTGGCCCGAGGAGCCATTCCCGTGCAGGCAGCCTCCCAGCCTGGGGTGCTCACCTCTGCTCCCTTCACTGTGGCCGGGCCCATGGGTGGCTGCTGCTGTGGTTCTGTTTCTGTGGCCTTACCTGGGGGCAGGCACGAGGGGCAGACTAGTCCTGGCCCCACCTGCCCACTGCCTATAGTCCCGGGCAGAGTGAGGGCTCGGCAACAGCCAGGGCGGCTTCCCAGCCTCAGGGGGACCAGCGTCCAGAGCTCTAGAATCAGACCTGCCTTCTTTTCTGAGGGCAGACAGGAGAACTGATGAATGGGACCTGGGCACTCCCCTCCCTCACTCCCAGTCTCCAGAGGTCCCAGGGGCCATGCTGGCTTTACCTTAGTTATTAGTCCTGTTACAGATGACAGTCCTCCTTCTTTGGCTAAATCAGTACTTGGGTTGAGTTTCCCCATGATGTTTTCCCTATGAGGAGAGGACATGACCACAGGATCCCCATTGCTCCAGGAAGGCAGCTGAGGCTGGGCTTTCACACTGAGGAAGCATCCACTAGGCGTCAGGTGCTGTCACCTGTGCATTCTTCTGATGTCTCATCTGGCCCATGTGAGGCAGGGATTATTAACCTCAGTTTACAGAGAAGGACACTGAGGCCGGGAGGGGCTTGCTCAAGCCCACACAGCTGGTGGTAGAACTAGGATCTGAACTCAAATCTTGTGACCCCACATCTGTGCTTGTACCCGTGCTTCAGCCGCCTCCTGTGGCTTCTTCCTGGAGAAAGCCTCTGACTTCAGGAGGGCCCTTCTGCTCTCCTCCCATCCCTTCCTTCACTTCTCCCTCCAAACTAAAGCTCCTGTCTCCTCGCTCCCTAGAATTCTCATGTCCAAGCTTGCCTGCTTGCTTGCGTTTTTTTTTCATTCCCTCACCGTGGGACTTTCATAGGACAAAAAGAAAGGAGGCTTGGTTAGGAGAGGAGACTAGGTGTCCCCCGGCCCAGGCAGAGGAATGAAACCAAGGCCTTCTAGGAAGGAAATGCAGAGCTCTGTTCCTCTCGCCCCTTCTCATGGTCCCGGCTTCTCAGGCCCCGGCGTCACCTGGGACCAGCTGATCGGTGGGCAGGACCTCTGGTCCCGTGCCCTCTGGGCTAAGGAGAATCACAACCTGAGCCCAGGTGCTGGGTGCCATGGCTTCCCAGCCCCCCAGGACGGCGGTGCCAGCATGCCCCAGGGCAGCCCCTCTACCTCCCTGGGGAGCGATACGGGTGCAGGCCTCCCCCAGCCCCACCCTGAGGCAGCCTCCCAGTCTCCTCCTGGGTTTGTTTTGTGTTTTCCTCTCTTATTCTGAACAGACCAGCATTTGCCTCTGAACATCTCATCTCTGGATGATGAGGTGTTTGTTTGTCACCATGTGGGGTGGGGTGTAAAGTGGGGGAGGGGGTAAAAGAGACCTGGGCTATTTTGGAGAGCTGGAGGATGAGCAGGCAGGAACAGAGTCAGGCAGCTGGGCCTCAGGAACGGGCACCCCGGACCCCTCACCTCTGCTGTGGACGGTGTTGGCCTGGGATGCTGGGCGCCAGGGCACTCACGCCATCCTTGTTCCTGGGCAGCCAGCCTGCGTGACCTCTGGCCCAGCTCCCTGCTGGGTTTTTTTCAAGCTGGCAGGGGTCCCCGTCAGGCAGTGGGTTTGGCCTACCCTGGCAAACCGTAGAGTCTGAGAGCCCAGGTGCCTGGAGGTATTCCTGGGCACACCCTTGTCACCTCTAGCCCCGGTTAGCGGGGCTGATGATCTCTGTGATGGGCTCCCCAGGACCGGGAAAAGGAACAGGCCGTCGCCTTGGCTGCAATCATTCAGAAACATTTATTGAGCGCTGGCTACATGCCAGACCCCAAACTGGGCCCTATATTTATAAAGACGAGCCAGAGGGGGTCTCTAATCCTGAAGAGAGCCAGGTCAGGTAGGGGAGGTGGCAGTTGG